TCCACTGTCACCACTTTTTTTTTTCTTTTCTTGGTACCAGGGATCAAATTCAGGACCCTGTGTTTGCAAGGCAGATGCAGTAGGTGCCCCTGAGCTAAATCCCCAGCCCTACTGTCACCACTCTTGTTCAACACAGTTCTGGAAACACTAGCCAGAGAAATAAGCAAGAGAAAGAAAAGGAATAAGGATAGGAAAGGAAGAAATTGAATCATTATTATTTGCAGATGACATGGTGCTCTACATAGAAGACCCCAAAAACTCCACCAAAAGACTTTGAGGTTTGGTAACCAAAAGACTTCTACATTGAAAACTACCATACTCTGAAAAGGATATTGAAGTGGTTATCAGAAAATGGAAAGGTATCCCTTGCTCTTGGATAGGAAGAACTGTTAGAGTGAAAATGGCCATACTTCCAAAACTGTTACACAAATTCACTGCAAACCCAATAAAAATCCCAAAAGCATATCTCACAGAATTAGAAAAAACGATCCTAAAATTCATTTGGAACCAGAAGAGACCTAGATTAGCAAAGGCAATTCTGGGAAACAAAGGCAAAGCAGGGTTATCACAATCCCTGACCTTAAATTACACTATAAAGCTACTGTGATAAAAACAGTGTGGTGGCCGGGCGTGGTGGTGCATGCCTGTAATCCCAGCACTTGGGAGGCTGAGGCAGGAGGATCGCTGTGAGTTCAAGACCAGCCTGGGCTACATAGTGAGTTCCAGGTCAGTCTCAACTACATAGTGAGACCCTGTCTCAAAAAAAAAAACAAAACAAAACAAAACAAAACAAAAAAAAACACCACAGCGTGGTACTGGCTAAAGAACAGATCTGAAGCTCAATGGAATTGGCTAGAGGATACAGAAACAACTCCAGACATACTCAACCACCTTATCTTTAACAAAGGAGCCAAACACCTTCACTGGAAGAAAGATAGCCTCTTTATCAAATGGTGCTGGAAAAACTGGCTTTCTACATGCTGAAGATTTACACTAGACCCATATCTTTCACCATGCACTAACCCAAAATCAAAATGGATCAAAGATCTAAATATTAAAATAGAAATACTACTGCTCACTTTGGCAGCACATATACTAAAACAGAAACACTAAATCTGCTGGAAGAGAATAGGTAGAACACTTGAGGACACAGGAGTAGGCAAAAACTTCTTGAACAAAACCAAGACTTCATGGGAAATACTACAAAGAATCAACAACTAGGGCCACATCTTATTAAAAAGCTTTTGCACAGGGCCAGGGATTTAGCTCAATGGTTCTGCCACTGCCTTGCCAAGCACAAGGATCCGTGTTCGATCACTGGTACCAAAAAAAAGAGCTTTTGCACAGCAACAGAAACCACCAACAGAGTGAACAGACAACAGAGTGGGAAAAAAATTTTGCCAGCTATTCCAATAAAGGACTATTATCTAGAATATATAAAGAATTCAAAAACAGACTCCCAAATTTAAAGACCCAATCCAAACATGAGCATCTGAAATTAAACACTTCTCAGATGAAGAAATAGAAATAGCAAATAAATATATAAAAAAAGTGTTCAACATCACTGGTCATTTGTGAAATGCAAATTAAACAACACTGAGAGGGGGTGAAGGGAGGGCACAAGAATGGGGAAATAATAAGAACCAAGATACATCGTGTAAAGGTCTAAGATCCCAATGATGAATATAACTGTATTGTATACCTTAAATGTACCAATAAACTTAATGGAAAAAATAAAAATAAAACAATGCTGAGATTCCACCTTACTCCAGAAAGAATGGCTCCTATTGAGAAATCAACTGATAACAAATGCTGGAGGGGCTGTGGGGAAAAAGGAACACTTCTCTAAGGTTGATGGGAGTATAGACTGGCGCAACCACTATGGAAATAAAGGTGGAGATTTCCCAAAGAACTAAAATTACAGGTTCCATTTGACCCAGCTACAACTCTCCTTGGTATCTTCCCGAAAGAATTTAAAGTATCATATTGCACCAATATATGCACACCCATATTTTACAGCAGCAGCGTATAACAGCTAGGTCTTGAAAACAGCCCAAATGTCCATCAACTGACAAATGGGATAAAGAAGTTGTGTTTTTTTTATACAATGGAGTACTACTCTGCCATAAAGGATGAGCTTCAGACGTTTATAGCTAAATGGATGGACTTTGAGACAACTCTTTAAGTGAAATAAACTGGACACATGTGCTTAAATACCAAATTGTTTCTCTGGTGTGAGAAACTAGATATGAAAATAAGGACTGAAATATATAATGGATGTTGGGAAATGGGAAGAATATGTTCCAATGGAAAGGCGAACAAGGGAGGAGAAAGGTAGAAAGGAAAGGACAAGAAAAAAAATGAAAATAGAAGAAAAAAATGGAAACAAAGCTTTTGTACATAGGGAGGAGGGGGCTTCAGGGGAGGAATGGGATAAAATGTATTTAAAAAAATAAGTAAAATAAAACGCAATCCCTAAGCACATGGCCACAGGCCAGGCCCACAGTGGGCTGTGTCCCTAAGCCCTAGCAGGCAGCCACTGCACCCAAGTTTTAATCACTTCCCAGCACCTCCCCGTGTGTCCCCTAACGAGCCTCTTGCTCAATTGGTCTCTGTTACCCATCAAACCTAAGGGTTATGGATTTCGTCTATCTAGCTTCTCACTTGGTTTCTGGGAACTGCTGCTCAATGAGCACTTGCAAATCCTATCCCAGCTGCTCAGGCTTCTATTAGAGTGGGCTGCACCAGAAGTTAGTTAACAAAATCACACCCCTTCCTCAATTCAGTCAATTAGTGTCACAATAATATGTAAATCGAATACAGCCAGCAGCTGAGGTTGGTGGTGCAACCACAGCACTCTGGGAGGCTGAGACAGGAAGATCACAAGTTTGAGCTCAGCCTGGGCAACTCAGTGACTAAGCAAGATCCTGTCTCAAAGTAAAAAAGGCTAAGAATTGCAGCTCACTGCAAAGGCCATGGGTTCAATCTCTAGGACTGGAGGAAAAGAAATTTAAAAAAAAACCAGCAGCAATCAGTTCTATTTCTTCACATCTATTATATCCAAACTCTCTTCTGGTCAATAAACAGGCACCGCCCACTCAAAAATCACTTTATGACCTCACAGCCCAGCAAGGGTGAACTCCTGTGATTCCTCCTGGGTGGAGAGTGCTGCATGGTGGCCCTTGCAGGTAGTATGGAAGGTGATCAAGGTGGGGACAAGAAAAAAAAGGGAGACAGGTGAGGAGAGCAGTCGGAGAGTCTGGCTTTTCACCCATCTGCTTCCCGCCATGGGGACCCAGGGCACAGGCAAGCTGCTTCACGGGCTTCAACTTCTAGTGGGGAGGTTACAGGATGAGAAAAAGCAGCTGTAGGAAACCCCAACACCTGCCACACAGGAGGCAATCAACAAACACTAGTTTCCTTCTCTTTAAGGCTAGAGCGAATCACAACCAACTGCTGACTGAATGATGAGCTCCTGTGTGGCAGCCCAAACCCAGTGTGTAACCGTGCTGCTCCTAGGGCGCTTTGGGATCACCTGGGAGCTGGGTAGAAGATGCTGAATCCTGGGCCACCTCAGATGTACTAAATCAGTCCTCACTGCAACAAGATTTCCTGGGGATTCACCACAAGTCAAAACAGCTGAGCTGCAAATGCCTTACCAATACCTCACTCAAGGGACGGAGATGACATGGTAAAGGTGATGGCACCTTCCAGACTCCCTCTCAAGATTAAAGCAGCAGGGGAAGACACTGAGAGCAAACCTGGAGCCACAATGCTGTGACTGGTTATTTGTGTCAAAATGCTACCATTGGGCCAGGGATTTAGCTCAGTAGTTTCACCGCCTTCCTTTCAAGCACAGGGACCAAAAAAAAAAAAAAAAATCTACCATTTACTGACTGCCTACGGCTACCCTCTTTCAACCAGGAGTTGCCTTTCTGCTCTTGTATGAACTGTTACCCACACACAGCACTCAGCCCTGGTAGGCTCTCAGTACATGGTAGCTCTCTTATTTCTAATTCCTTTTTGTTACTGAGGATCAAACTCAGGACCTTGAACTTGAAAGGCCTGACAACACTGAGCTACATGCCAACCTTATTTCTAACTTTTACAACAAACACTTCAGGGCTGCATTAGCACTGTTTATCATCAGGGACTGCACTGGATATTTTTGTAGAATTTTAATCAGTACTCACAAGTACTAATTAAGTAAGACAAGGCAGAGGAATACTAATGAGAAAACTGACAACAAAGAGGTTAAATAATTTGCCCAGGGTTACACAGCCACACAGGCAATGTAGGGTGTAAACTCAGGCAGTGTGACTAGACCTTAGATTTTTTTGTTTGTTTGTTTTTTGAAACAGGGTCTTATTACATAGTTTAGGCTGGCTTTGAACTCACTATGTAGCCTAGGTTGGCCTCAAACTCACACGATCCTCCTGCCTCAGCCTCCAGAGTGCTGAGATTACAGGTGTGCACCATCACACCTGGCTTTAGACCTTAGATTTTAAAGAGCTACAGCTCTTTAACAGTAAACCATTATCAAGACTTGTCTTGACATAGCATACCTCCCATCCACACTTAAAAAAACACAAGCTGGGAATGTGGGGCAAGCTTGTAATCCTAGCACTTGGGAGGCTGAGGTAGGATGACTGCCATGAGAGGCCAGCCTGTGCTACATAGTGTGTACAACGCCAGCCTTAACTACGTAAGTAAGACCTTGTCTTTAAAAAAAAAAAAAAAAAAAAAAAAAAATCAATCAATAAAAATAAAGACAATGAGGTTGTTCAGGAAGGTGGAGTATGATACCAGCTGGCAAAGGACAATAAGCTCTAGAAAAATCCAAGGCAATAACTTCCAACTAACCCCTCATTCTATGCTGTGCCACCCCAGCAATCTAGCTTATTAAACCCTGAGGTAAATAAAGACCCCAGTGAGTCCTTAACACTTGTGGAAAGTTGTGTCTGCTCTGTCCAGACAGGCACAGATCATAGGTTGCTCACATGTCCTTCTCCTTCTCAGAACTCTCGTACTCCAGAAACACGATGTGCCGGGGGTAGTGACCACAGATATCCCCATTCACATTCGGAATCACGCTGAAACAGTAGTCTCGGCCAAACAGCTCCAGACATCTCTTCTCGATGAGCTCAACCTTTGGGGCGGGGGAAGAAACACATGACACATATACCTGAACCATGTAAGATTCTGAGGTTCCAAATGTAAGCAGCAGCCCATGACTTGGAGAGGTCACCGGGAAGACATGTACCTGTGTGGTTATTATTATTTGATGATGGGAATAGACATGACTGCCCACAACATCTTCCAGGTACAGTAACCCACACATCATATGATTCAGGGATTCACAAAGGACCTTGAGCCCCAACATGGCATGTAAAACTGTGGTCGGCATTTGAGAGGATTATAGCTTTTATTAGCTTCAAACGAGCCACAATTAACATATAAGAACTCTTCCTCTAGGTTACTGTACCTGGCACTAATCCACTGTGTGTCACTGGTGGCAGTTTCTTCCCTGTTTTCTAGCTCCAGACTAGTACCTTAAAGCTCTACTCAGTGGAATCATTATTAAAAGCTGCACACAGTGCTGTTTACTTACACACTACTTGCTTAAGAAATAGAAGGTACACTGACTCTCAATCAACTGTTTCATTCACAGTTCAAAGAAAGGTCTGCTAAAAAACACTGTAAGATCTACAACATCTCAAGAAGTTTCCAAGAGATCAGGAGGCCAGGAGATGTATCAAGGGAGGGTGCAACAAAAGTAGTGTAATTTATGGCAATCCTAATCTTCAGAGGCATGCAAGATGGAAGAGGGGATCAGGAAAAAAAAAAAGAGAGAGACCTTTTATACCACTAAAAAGACCCTCCCTGAAGACAATTCATGGTGGTTTAAACTAGGTATCCTAAAATTTCAGGGCACATGAGCATTATTAAGAAGCCAGTGGCCTGTAATTCCCACTGGGAGTTCACAACTACCCTGAGCTACATAGTGAGTTCGAGGCCAGCCCGAACTACCTAATGAGACTCTTTCTCAAAAAACCCAAAGGAAAAAAAGTTAAAAGAATTATGCATAGTTTAACTCCACCACCACCAAGAAGCCTGTTAACACTGCAAATTACAAGTTCCCATCTCTGAAATGCTGACTTAGCTTCATTAGGTGGAACACCAAGTTGGAATCTTTTTTTAAAACAAGTACCTCACATGATGCTATACTCTGCAAAGTACTTGGTCGTTTAGAGTATCATGGTCACTTTCCTGCTTACGGGGACACAATACCTCCCACCCACAATTTAGAGGAGGGACTTCTTTTGGCTAATGTTTTTAGCCCAGTTGGCCAGCTCCAAGGCAGAAAGGCATGGTGGAAGGGTATGGGCAGGGGAAAGTTGCTCCAGGAAGCAGAGAGTGTGAAGGGAGAAGCCAGGAAGGGAGACAGACCTTTCTAGGTGACACCCCCAGTGACCCACCTCTACCAACAAGACCCCATCTCCCATCAGTTATAACTGCAAGGCAGTTATTAACCTTAATGTAATTAAGGTTATTTGAGGGTTATTAACCCTCATCCAATTTTCTTTTAGAAGCCCCACCTATGATCACATGAGGCTTTGGGGTACAGCTAGATATAAAACATAACAAGGAGGAAGTCCCATCCCTAGTGACATTGTCCCTGGATTACCTCAGAGACTAACAGATGCCACCTATATAGCACGTCCAGCCTAAGCAATATCTGGAGCCAAACCAGAGTTTTATGGCTCAGGATGAAACAATCCCACTGAAAACCTGATGTCAAAAGTGCCAAACCCACATGGATAAGAAACCACAGGGTCAGTAAGATTCCCTTCTGCTGCCAGCTAATGGGGGGGGGTGCCTTGGCCAGACCGGAAATGTCCATGCCGGGCCACCGACAGAGACTGGGGGTGGGCTTGTGGCTTCTCGTTATCTTTATTTTTTTGGTCTTGAGACAGGTTCTCCCTATGTTGTTAAGGTTGGCTTTGAACTCACTAGTAGCCCAGGCTGGCCTTAAAGTGGCAGCGATCCTCCTGCCTCAGCTGCCAGTGCTGGGATTATAAGGGTGCACCACCACGCCCGGCTTGACGCCTCCTTTTAATAAAGGAACAGAAAAGGAGTGCGAATTGTCTTCTTGCGCTATCGGAGAAGGAACGGGATGGACTTAGGACCTCAAAGGAGGAAACAGTTCATATCTTGGCTCTATTCTGCCCCAGCCCCTTCATTCAGACCTCGGACTTGGAGGAACTCTTCCTCTACTTTCACTTAGATTTGGGGGTTTTGCCCTGGCACCAACGCCTCCTAGGTACCGGAAGCAGGGTAACGGTCTCAGTTCTCGCTCTCTAACCTTTGCATCCTCCGCCTCTGACCCTTGACCTCCGAACCCCGTGCCTCAAACCAAAAGGTCCTCTCCCTCAGTTCGTTCTGACCGTAGTTCCTCATTTCGTGGTTGTTTCGTCACCTCCTCAGGCTCCGAGCCCTGGAGAGGTCTTCTTCCTAAGCAGGTAAGTCCCACTCCTCCCTGAGCCCCAGACCTCTTTCCTCCGAAGTCCGCACACCAGGAGCCTCTCTGCTCTCCGCCCCTCAGGGCTCTCACCTTAGAGCCGCTTGTCCCGCCGCCGTCCTTGGCCCTGTACTGAGTCCGGGAGAACTCCTCCAGCAGCTCCCCGAGCCCCGGCTCCTGCGGCGACGGGCTGCCCGAA